ATGGGAGTATGGCATAGCAGCAGTAGAGATGGTGGCTCCGCTGCAGTCAGTCTTGCCGGAGTGAGGTAAAGTGGATTGAGGGGTGGTTTTCCGAGTCGTTTCTGAATTTTGCTTAATCATGAAGTTGTCATAGACATGTCTGAAGTAACTCCAATTTCTTCGAGCCAAAGCCGGGTAATGGCCCCGGTATCTCAAGTTCGAAAATTCCATCCTTAGGCCAATTAGATTTTTCTAGTAGTTCCTTGCTCATTTTCATGGAATTTTCTGATGGAGTTTAAATTTTTGAATGTACTCGTTATGGGACGCTGGGCCCGGTTCCCAGTTTGTGCCAATTTGTGAGGATATGGTTGTATCTATGGCACGCTGGACCCGGTTTCCAGCAGGTGCTGCTCCCCACCAATAGATGGAGCCTTTTTCTAAATTTAAAAAAAAAAAAAAAGATGATACTAATGATGATGATGATGATTATGATGATTAGTATGTCAAAAATGTAGAAGACTATACTTTATCAGCACTTCTGACCTAAACTAAGAAATTTTAGAAAACTTGAATCTTGATTCCGGTGTGCGTAAAATCCCTAAGCTCCAGTTTCATTTTCCTGCACTTGCCTACTATACTCTTTTTCTCGTCCTGGTTGACATAAAATAATATAGTAGTGGTAGTCAGGCTTTGGAAGGGACGCCATGGTGAAAAGACCACCCCTTCCCATTCCGTACCACAATGATAGTTGGAAAACTCTCGGAATCTGCTAAGGACTTCAGCCCTTGACAGATGTCTCCGTTATCTGTCCACTGCCAGGTCCCTAGCAGGTCGTATGCTGCACGGATGCTTAGCGCCCGTTTTGGTAGGAATCATTTCACAATGTTATTGTCGACTCCTTCAAGTCGCCTTCGTGATCTTATCATTCTGTTTACCACTGTGTCTTTTTCCTTCCTTTCTTCACCTTCCATTTCGCTGTCTCATTTATCCCTTTTTTCTTTCCCCTTCTCCTTCCTTCGTCAGCTCTTACCTTAACTGCAACTATGTGGCTTTTATGGTTTCGGGTTTCCGCTGTCGTCATTACTTTTATTGAATGTCATTTCGTGTTGAATTAACTTGAATAGAATACATGGTACATGCTGGACAAATCACATAGCCCAGAGAGTCAACAAACTACTTTGCAAATGAATGTGTAGTGCTTATTTAAAAAACAAAAAAAACAAAGGTAGTCTGGGCTGAACTATCAGTGCCCATTCCATGAGGAGGGCCTCGTTGATTGAGCTTGACCTCAGTTCTCAACATCCAGATAGTTTTGTTGAAGGCAATTGACTTTTTTTTTTTTTTTTTTAAAGGTTGTTGCAGAGGCTGGATTAAAGACAGGTGAGAGTCACCTACGGCAGTAGTGGGTAATCAACGAAGGCAGGTAACTCCAGCAATAGCAGTGATGCAACAGTCGAAAACCATACCAAGTGTACAAGAGAAGCAAAGAAGAAGAAGAAGAAGAAGAAGAAGAAGAAGAAGAAGAAGAAGAAGAAGAAGAAGAAGAAGAAAAGAAGAAGAAAAGAAGAAGAAGAAGAAGAAGAAGAAGAAGAAGGGAGACAACACAAGATAAAATGGAACTCCCGAACGCGACATTAAAAGTAAACAATGAAGCACAGGTGGTAGAGACCCGACTAGTTTCGGTCGGCCACCACCGGCGACTCATCAGGGGTCTTGGTCGGTCGCAAGATGTCTAACCAGTGTAGACGTTACCTATTTATTGTGTAGTCACAACAAAGGACTATGGAAAAAATCGTGAGTCAAAAGGGCCCAACAACAAAACGTCTACGCAAAATGACCACTGACCAAACCTTCAGCCTAACTCAAACCACTACCGGAACCAAGACCATGTCAAAACCATAAAACAGTCATGTCGGCCCCGGAACTTCAAACCCGCAGGCCTCTAGGGGAATCCTCAATGCTCCGAGACTTCAACCCGCGAGTTCAGAAATCAATCTTACCGCAAAACTATCCCGTATTCAGGTCCCGCACCTATCAACCCCGGGACTATCTACCCGCGGGTATGAAAGCTGGGTCATATCAACTACTCTGGAGCTGACACCCGTGAGTTAGCAGGTGATACTCACCACCATTTCAACATTATTCATATATGCAATTTATCTGCTGTGACATAATAGATCTTACGACCGACTCAAAGTGACTAGGAAAACTAGTCTAGTTAAGGCAAGAAATTCCTAGATTCTACTCAACAAATGACCCCAATTGGTGAGAATGAGAATCCAGTGATCCCAACAGCCAACAAATTTCCGAGAAAAAATGAACCAATGTGCGATCGAAAAAATGATCTGGATATCCGCGCAACCACAACTCGTGCTTGAGCATGAACAAAAAAGGAAGCTCCAAACCAGCGATGGAAGTGAAAGTATGGGCCCGATGGAAGAATGAGTCAATGACAGCAGGCTTTTGTTGCTTACTGGAGAAGGAGTAAAAATTTTGAATGCAATGAAAGGTCAACGGTCCATTCACCGAACTACCCTGATTCTTCATAGTGGCTCTGCATGCCACTCGGCACGGATTGTCTAAAATCATCAGAATACAACCAATAAAATCTCATTCAGAGGAAAGATTAGTTTGTTCCAAAACTAGCGCAGGGTCATAACATGGCCGAAATAACTCCATAATATGTACCTTTGCATCCCACGAATAATGATTGGATAAGCGAAATTTAACGAAGAAATAAACATCGTCGACAATCTTGCAGCCATGAACCAACCACCTATCGTCACCCAGAGAAAGATAAAAACTTAAACTCGTCAGATGCACAGAGCAAACATGCAAGAGCCGGACTCGTGGATTTCCCCATTGGAATACCCACATTCTGCTGGAACAAACACCCCGTAATCATCACAAAAGTGTGTTCGAGTTCATACTGCACAAAGGTCATGATTTGGAAAAATTTAAGTCGGATCCAACCAGCTTCACCTTTGCCACGTGACAGCTTAACCGCTTTACCATGGGCGCATACCAACACTGCCGTGTACCCTTCACTTTTCCAGAAGTCCAAGACCCATCGAACGACCTGCAGGATGGATGGATGCGACAAATGTGAAAACATCTCCTTTACGTCGAACGAACCACCCAACAAAGAAGTCGTCATTCTTTAAATCTTTATTAATACATGTGATCTTCTTCATCATGTCGGTCGTACACCGAAGTTTAAAATGCAACTTATCCGACAATCTCCACAGCAAACAGTTGATTGCTCGTGCCACACGCTTACTACTAACAGATGAGCAATCAGAATGTGAAGGACAAATTGGACGTCATCGACAAACATCTTTGTGTTTTGGTAGAAAGTAAGCATGCCCAAACGTGCCCTTGTTGTTCCGTTTCCTAATCTTATTGAATTTATGTTCAACGTACTGCTTCTTACAGATCGAAATAGTCTCGGCCACTGGGGTTTCAACAAGTATAAACGGTTCATTATCCAAGAATAACGTCTTCATACCCTCACCATAGACGACAGGACAACAAATGAACGTTTCACCAGGGTTGTGGTCCAGTGGAGAGCAAACCAGACCACCAAGACGAACTTCATGTTGACTAACTACTTCCTCAGAAAAAGTCGACCCAGAAGGTCCAGACGTAGTGTCGAGGATGCAAGAAAGAAAGAGGTGCTTATCGTAAGGATACAGACGAAGAGGAGGAAGACAATCAACTGTTTAGAAAGAGCGAAGAATTTGACGCCGCAGATTAGAAATTGGATGCCCCACAGTAGGTCACAAAACATTCATAGAGTTTCGCATGTATAGAGGAAAAAACTCCACTGAACTAATACGGAAAGACACATGTCCTTCAACGCTTGGGAATAAGCTATCTACATCCTTATAGCAGCGAGAAAAAACTCCTGATCGTGCAGTCATACGAAAATTGTGGATCAAATCCCCCACAGAACGGTTTCTACACCATACAACTCTCATCCGTCGAGTTATCATATCAATCCAAGCAGGCTCGATATCCAGCCTGCGTACCAACTGTGCACATACGTTCCGAGTGCGTAATCTACAACTAAAGCTTATCACTCCTGAATACGCATAGATCAAGTCCCGAAAGTCCCAAGAAATGAGTTGTCGACCCGAACTGGGATTACTAAGCAAACGAACAAGATCCGGTTTAAAAGCTAATGATTTCTTACAAAAAGAAACAATGGTCTCGAAAATGACGACCACACCCTCGACAAGACAACCTCTCGAGCTCCGCAGCTGATCTTTGCAATCATTATAGGAAATGACCAACGAACCATAACACCGACGAAGTACTTTCCATTTATCGAGCAGAAGAGGTCCACCACTACATACAACTGCAACCCGGTCCAAAGACCGATCACGACAATAATTCAGGATCCGAATAAGACTGAAAGACGACACGTCGTATGAGGAATCAAAGTGAAGCACAGAATAAGATGAGGGCTTAGTCAAAGTGGAACCACCAGTGAGCCTAGGAGGACATATCACCGCGAGACCGCGCTGCTTCTTCCTACGTAACCGTTCTCGTTTACCCAGTCCCCGTTTCTTATGTTTCTTTGGTTTATCCTTTGAGTTTAGTGCGGGTGAGAACAACCGAATGAAAAAATTCTCCATTTCTTTTAGATCTTCACTAGAGCAACGACAGATCGGCACAACAATATACTTATCAAAACCACATCGCCGAAGCCAACAATACAAACGCTTATTACGTCGTCCTTGACCAATCACCGGTTCACAATGCGTCCTATAAACATGCCCTGACCACCGAGGCCCCAAATCCCGTGTAGTACTACCCACATATAGATGGCGGCACCATGGAGACAACAGTACGTAACCAACGGACCTCTCGTAACTTCACTATTCGTCCACCACTCCAGCGAACAGGAAGAAAGTTTAGAGGCCCAAGGAATCAAACCGTAAAGGTTAAGAGCAACAACCACTACTCGAAAAAGAGCGTCAATCTCCCTACTTTTCAAGTTCTTAGAAGAAGACGAGCGAGAATTGAAACATTTATTAGCAAGAGACCAAAGGTATGTTACGCTCGGGAGGGACCCGAAGAATTTGTAGAGTCCCTCCCATCGTTTTTACCGTCGTCATCACAATCGTCCTCCGAAACATTCTGTATTGTTGCCTTCTTGCCGAGCGCCTTCTCTACCCGCTTCTCGATGATGTCGGTAATCGTCCGTGGTATCGTACTATATTTAATTCCCTCCTTCATACAGATCTCCACTAAATCATTTTTCTTTTTGCTTGCCAACTCCTTCCGTGCTTCACGGATGAAGTTCTCACGTCCATTTTTCCCGCCAACTTCCTCTCCATCACCCACCTTCTTCTTGTCACGTGTAGTCTTAAGAACAGATCCACCCGCAGAATTCAATTGTTGTTGGAAAGCAGATTTGAGTGTTGTTCGCTCCGCCTCCCGTTTTGCCAGTTCTTCCTTGAGCCTGACATTCTCCTGTTCAGCCTCCCATCTTTGATTCAACTCCTGCAACCTAAGTTGTTTGAGTGCATTGACTTGAAGTGTGTGCAGCTGCGCCAACTGTGTGGGGTCAACGGATCCCGTTTCTGCCGACGGTCGCCGAGGTACGGAGGACGGTATCTTCAATTGGGATGACGGTGAGGTCGCCAGTCTGCTACGCTTGTTACCGGTCCGAAGAGCTTCCTTCTTCCAATCTTCATTGTCCTTCAAAGCCGCCTCATGTTGCTGTTTAATAGCTTTTAGAGATGCTTCCAGCGCTTCAACACGTTGGTTGACCGCTGTCACGGTTTCCTGCTTCGCCTTCATTTCTTCGTGCTCTTGCATGATCCGTGCTAACAAGGCATCGTCTCTGATTGCCGGCCAACTGGTAGATGCACCATCATTCCTTTCTCCACCCTGAGCTAATCGTAGTTCCTCCACTTCCTTAAACAAGCTGTCAATCTTCTGTTCTTCTGCTGCGCCATTCTGCTTCTGTCCACGAACCACCTCATACATGCTGTCTAGTCGAGCATTCATTGCATTGTGAAGTTCCTTATTGAGTGCTTCTCATTCCTTTTTCTCGTTCATCCTTTGTTCTTCTTCTTTCGCCTTCCTCTGCTTCTCCTCTTCTTCCTTGCGAGCAACCTCCAAGTCGTTTGCGATAGCCGCATTGTACCACCCCTTCATATTCGCCACTGTCTCCTCACGTACGACAACCCTCTGATTCGGGTTAAACCATCTGCTACCTTTAGTATACTGTCTGTTGTTGTTATGAACAGCAACTCCAGTCGACGAGGGGGGAGGAGGAGGAGGAGGAGGAGGAAATGGAGGTGGAGGAAGAGAGAAGGGAGCAGGTAAAGTCAAGATAGGCGCCTGTCCTACAGAAGCCGTTGTCGTAGCAGTCTTGTGAGGGCACCATCGAGCAGAATGGTTCGGGTCTCCACAGTTATAGCACGTGCGTACACTGGAGGTGGAAGCCATCATAGTCAAACAACAGCAAAACCGAAGCCACTCGTGACGTAGTATAACCCCTTCGACGGTTACTCCGTGAGAGAAAGTGAGTAATCAACGAAGGCAGGTAACTCCAGCAATAGCAGTGATGCAACAGTCGAAAACCATACCAAGTGTACAAGAGAAGCAAACAGGAAGAAGAAGAAAGAGAAGTAGAAGAAGAAGAAGAACGAGGGAAGAAGAAGAAGAAGAAGAAGAAGAAGAAGAAGAAGAAGAAGAAGAAGAAGAAGAAGAAGAAAAGAAGAAGAAGAAGAAGAAGAAGAAGAAGAAGAAGAAGAAGAAGAAGAAGAAGAAGAAGATGAGAGAGACAACACGGGATAAAATGGAACTCCCGAACGCGACATTAAAAGTAAACAATGAAGCACAGGCAGTAGTGACCCGACTAGTTTCGGCCGGCCGCATCAGGGGTCTTGGTCGATCGCGAGATGTCTAACCAGTGTAGACGTCACCTATTTATCCTGTAGTCACAACAAAGGACTATGGAAAAAATCGAGAGTCAAAAGGGCCCGACAGCGAAACGTCTACGCAAAATGACCACTGACCAGACCTTCAACCTAACTCAAACCACTACCGGAACCAGGACCATGTCAAAACCATAAAACAGTCCTGTCGACCCCGGGACTTCAAACCCGCAGGCCCCTAGGGGAATCCTCAACCGCTCCGGGACTTCAACCCGCGAGTTCAGAAATCAATCTAACCGCAAAACTGTCCAGTATTCAGGTCCCGCACCTATCAACCCCGGGACGATCTACCCGCGGGTCTGAAAGCCGGGCCATATCAACTACTCCGGAGCTGACACCCGCGAGTCAGCAGGTGATACTCACCACCATTTCAACATTATTCATATATGCAATTTATCTACTGTAACATAATAGATCTTACGACTGACTCAAAGTGACTAGGAAAACTAGTCTAGTTAAGGCAAGAAGTTCCTAGATTCTACTCAACAAACGACCCCAATTGGTGAGAATAGGAATCCCTCCGGGTAGACTGTGAGGACCCCGGCCTCAAACATTTTCATTGACAATATCAGCCCTGGGCACTGGGCCCGGTAATAAAAAAAAAAAAAAAGTGATCCCAACAGCAAGCACTAGGCCATGTGGTAGAAGCCCACTATTCCGGCGATGGTAAGAGAACCACCAGAATTGAGGTCTTGCCTATCGGGCTGCTCCATCTATTGGTGGAGAGCGGCACCCGCTGGAAACCGGGTCCAGCGTTCCTTGGATACATCGTTACAGAACATCCTTTCCTGTACATTTTGTCCGGGGCCGTAGCTTCTTTCCTATGGGACTCCCTCCCAACCTACCACTCTGGTAATTTCTTCCCGGCGCACTCCTACTCCCGCTATCCTACCTCAGTGTCTACCACTCAGGATCGCCACCCTCCGGTCTGGGGGTGACCTGACTGAGCAGTGGTTGCAGGTACCAGGGCTAAGCTGAGCCCCACACACCCCACTCAGCCCTGATCGAAGCATATTCGAGCGAGCCTTGCCGCCCGGGTACTTCAGGCGCTAGGCATGAACGCTTCACCAAAAGTCCCATAGGTGGACCTTTTGTTTGCGTTCCTACCGTTGTATACACAGCTGTTGTTACTATTGTTGGTTGTTAGGTTGTTCCTGTCTCTTATACACATCTAGATGTGTATAAGAGACAGGCTCCCGGTCGCGCTGCGCCCCTCGATTCCAATATCTCTCAGAAGTCCTCTAGCCCCCCATAGGTGGACCTATTTTGCATTCCTATTCTTCTTTTTTGTGTACACAGCTGTTGTTACTGTTGTTGGTTGTTAGGTTGTTCACTGTGTACACGGTTGTTATTACTAGTATTTTACTACTTTGTTGTTGATGGTGAACTGAATATAGGAGGCAGTCAACCCAATCAATCCCGTAGAGAGGCCCCGCAACACAGGAACCCTATCAGCACCGTCCATAGACCGTACTAAGTCTCACTCTCATCAACTGTTCCTATTTCTATGGGTGGTCTGCAAGGTCCTAGTTTTTTTTCAGACAGACATCAGCCATAGAGAGTACTAAGCCTTACTCTCATCAACCGTTCCGTTCCATGGGCAAGCTGTCCTAAGGGGGAGCCCACATCCTAACCCCTCCCGTGCCTAGTGGGTGACCCCCCCAGATCTCCAGCTAGCAACAGCCCCCTTCTAGTCTCTACTCTTACCCCCAGAGACCTACCAACACCGACCACAGACTGTACTAAGTCTCACTCTCATCAACTGTTCCTGATTCTATGGGTGGGGCGTAAGTCTCTCGGCTCTGCATCCCAGTATGTGAGTGAATTTGAACACACAACCTCATCCATGCAATCTACTATCGAGCCAAGTGAGCTACTGTAGAAACTGAACGATTTGTGCGCAATAGTGGACCGGAAGGCAAATGAGCAATCATCCCCAAGTATGCAAGCACTCAAACCACCACATGAGCCTAGAGCATCAGGCAAACATCCCACAGCCCAAACCCAACATACAACAACCATGGACTAAGACCCCTGGGTGGTGCGCAAGCAGTGTCTGTAATAGCTTACCTGTGTCACCCAAGGCGGGTTGCCAGCCAAGGCGGGGTTGCAGATGGGTACACCTTATGTAAACGTCCGCCGGTGTCCATGAGCATGGATGCGGAGTTTTCAACCCGCAACCTCAAGCCACAATGCACATTTCCAACCGGTGCCCTAAACACTCGGCCACACGCCATCTGCTTTTCCTTTTTTTTTTTTCACGCAGCCATAGTTACCTCTTTTTTTCCGAGAGATGTCATCATTAAGCTGCGTAGCGCATTTAATGTTCCAGTGAAATCTTTTGTGGGCTATGGAGCCTGACCTCATTTATTGTGGAACTTGCCCTTGGTGTCTGGGCACTGCGCCCACGGAAAATGATGATGTGAGTGGAGAAGAGGAGAGAAATAAAACAAAGCCCATGGTCCTCAGTTTTTCTCGATAAGGTCATCCCCAAATCTTTGTAAAAAGAAGAGCTTACCCCATAACGTTAGGACCCACTGAACTATTCCCATATCTATGTACAAAGATATGGCGGCCACAATCTTGAACGGTACTAAAATACTAACAATTAAACAAGGAGTTGCATCGCGAAATCTAGATGTCAATGGGGATTGCTCCTAGCCTTATGCAAATCCATCTGCATGCTTTATGTCAGACCATCTGGACTATCATAGTCATTGGCACCCACAGCCAACACTACGAGCTCCTTAGCACACACAACCAGCCATTAGCCACTGCGAATGAATGCCGGATTCATGTGGGGCTGGTTCCCCCTACTCCCCCATGGGGGCCATAAACTCTCGCTCACGTCTGAAATACCACTAGGGCTAGGGTTGGTAGGACTGCATTTTAAACCCTGACAAATTCTGCTTCTCTGATTAACACCAGGGTATCCTCCTGTAGACGGGACCAATCAAATCAATGCTGTTTCATTTATATTTGATCGATTTTTGACGGTGGGTGGTCACAGTTTTGAATCTCTGTAACTTTCACAACTCTGGGCTTATTTTCCAGAAGGTGCTGACCCCCACGGATAGATTGGAGCTGTTAGTTGTCAGAAAAGAAGGGGGATCATGGCATTCTGTCAGATTGATTGGCGGCGTGTGAGGAGCCCCTGGTCTAACCAAGGCTATGGATCCTTCGTTTTTTGCTTTTCTTTTTTGGATCCATTTGGCTCTAAAACTTCACACTGGAGGCATACTCACCTTGGGACTTTTTTGACTCCAATCTGGAAGTGAGTTGCCTCCAGATGCATCCAATTTTGTCTGTAATTGCTGTCAGATTCATTCAGAAAAGTGCTACTCCAAGAAACACCCATTGAATGGATAAAGTCAGTTTAGAGTAAAAAACTATGTTGAAGCACCAGTGAAAACAACCTTCATTTGAAGAACGCATCCATGCACAAGTAGGCCGCACTTTGGATGCACCGGCCCACCTGCAGTCAGTTTCGTACATACAGAATGGGGAAATTTTCAGTTAGACAAAATAGGCTTGGTTGAATTGGTGGTTGAAGAAAAAAGGACTGGAGATTACATACATGAGAGAGGAAATGTGGAATTGGTGCATGAAAATATAGAGACGAAAGGAGAAAACATGGAACCGACATTATGTAAGAGGAAGTGGTGATAAGCAGTGGAAACGCATGGAGATTATTATGGGAGGAAACAAGACGAGTAACCGTAACAAAAAATCAATGCCAGTTGAAACATTGGAGCGACTGGCCCTGTTTCTACTGGCTTCCATCTTTTCCCTTTTTGAGTTATAAACGTGGGCCCAGTCTCCAAGACTCGTCTTTCTCGAATGGAGTACAGCAAGGTACTGGGGCCATTACCCAGCTTGGGCTAAAATTGCTGGAAATGATGTCCAGCCCTTTTCATGTGCACCAAAGCTTAGCAACAAAGATCTATACAATCTGCTAAAACAAACAGTACTGTTGAGGAAAAGTCAACAAAGACACACCCCCGGGAAGGGAGCGAACGGCGCTAGCGCTAGCGCCCTGATGCCGGTGGACCGCTTGGGTCCGGTTGCCCCGGCTAGACTAGCACCCGGGGAGGAGGGCTCCTCAGCTGGTAGGCCTGCACACGCACCCGATAGGCACACGTGGCTCCTTGGTTGCCATGTGGCACGTGTTGTCTGGTGACGTGGAAGGCCCG